TCTGTCCGACAATGAAAATCCGTTGTATTGTAAAATTCGTTATATCAAAATTCGTTGTAGAAAGAGTTGACTGTACTAAATGCAGATAATATTACAGAATTATATGGTATGATAGAGTTTGATAATTATTGTTATTTAATTCTTTAGACGTGTATTGACTACTTTAATGAGATGTTTTTTTGAAGAAATAGTGAAAACTTTAATAAAGGTAACAAGCTTTAGAGAAATAGATGATTATAGAAGCATAGTAGAAAATAATTTGTTGGGTCTGTCAAGTTGCACCTTTGAGATGATAATTATGAGGTTATAGCACAATAGCAGTATAATACTAAATGTGTAATAATATGTATATAATATATTACAAATACAATACAAATACATTACAAAAATAATAAAATCATATTATAAAACAATTACAATCACATTACAAAAATAATAAAACAATTACAATTATATTACAAATACATTATAAAATTAATAGAACAATTACAAATACATTATAAATATAATAAAACAATTACAAATATATTAAAATACAATTACAAAGCTATTACAAAAATAATAAAACAATTACAAATATATTAAAATACATTTACAAAGCTATTATATGTCTAATTAAAAAACTATTTCAAAAGTGTTTTATATTGTTTTGATATAAAATTATAAACTTAGATAACATAGTTTTTATCATTTTGTGATAGCTTTCGAAATAATGATGAAATGATAACAAAATAATATAAAAATTATTTCAAAAAACAGTCATTTTTAATAAAGTTGCTTTTCACAGGATTTATATTCATACGTAATGCAATTAATGCATCAGGTACAAAGTACCATGTGATGTAGAATTATCAAATGCAAAAATACTAATAGCATTTGAATGAGTTGTTTCAAATATGAAAATTGCACGTTGAATTATCTTAAATAAAAAAAAATATTTATTAAAATAAAAAAAAAATAATTAATTAATTACCTGTTCAACTAATTTTTCAACAGTCCACCAACCATTATGATTTTTTTCAGGGTTCATTATAACTCAGGCTTCATGTAGAATTTTATTTCCAATTTCAGAAAGTTTTTATTCTTCATTTAATTGCAATTGACTAATTGTTTTATAAATAAAATCACTTATATGTAAAGCTTCGAACGGTTTGATTAATCTGAAAATTTTTGGTTTAGATTAACTTCAGTTCAGTTACGGATTGCAAAAAATTCAATCTGAAAATTTTCAGTTCAGTTCAGATTTTTTCAGATTATAAATCTAATCTGAACAGAAAAATATTCGAACTGAACTGAAAATTTTGGATTAATCTAAAATTTCAGATTGTTTAAAACAATTAAATTTATCGTTCTTTTGAAATGATTAAATTATCGTTCTAAAAGAACAATAAAAAAATCGTTTATTTGGAACGATTGAAGTTATCATTCTAAACGAATGATAAGAAAATCGTTCAATTAGAATGATTAAATTATTATTCTAAAAGAATGATAAAGAATCATTCATTTGGAACAATTGAAGTTATTGTTCCAAACAAATGATAAGAAAATTAGTCAATTAGAATGATTAAATTATTGTTCCAAAAGAATGATAAAAGGATTGTTCAATTGAAACGATGAAATTATCGTTCTAAATGAACAATAAGAAAATCATTTAATTGGAATGATTAAATTATCGTTCCAAAAGAATGATAAAAGAATCGTTCATTTGAAACAATTGAAGTTTTTATTCCAAATGAATGATAAAAGAATTGTTTATTTAGAACGATTGAAGTTATAATTCTAAATAAACAATAAGAAAATTGTTTGATTGAAATGATTAAATTATCATTCCAAAAGAACGATAAAAGGATCATTCGATTAGAATGATGAAATTATTGTTTTAAACAAACGATAAAGAATCATTCAATTAAAATTATTAAATTATCATTCTAAAAGAATGATAAAAGAATCGTTATTTAGAACGATTGAAGTTATTGTTCTAAATGAACGATAAGAAAATTGTTCAATTGGAATGATTAAATTATTATTCTAAAAGAACAATAAAAGAATCGTTCAATTGGAATGATTAAAATATCATTCTAAAAGAACAATAAAAGAATCATTCATTTGGAATGATTGGTTATTATTCCAAACAAATGATAAGAAAATCGTTTGATTGAAATAATTAAATTATCATTCCAAAAGAACAATAAAAGGATCGTTCGATTAAAATGATGAAATTATCATTTCAAATGAACGATAAAGAATTGTTCAATTGGAATGATCTAAAATTTTGGATTAATCTGAAATTTTCAGTTCAGTTCAGATTTTACTAGTTTACGGTTCAGTTCAGTTTCAATTGGCATTTTTAAGATTTATAATCCAAACTGAACTGAATCGAATTATCAGTTCAGTTTCTGATTGGCCTATAATCTAAACCAAACTGAACTGTTTAGAATATTACTTATATGAATAGTACATTCTTGTCCTTTTTTTTTGCAAAGGCTGTTTATGATTAGGAGCTTATTCAAAATTTTTTCTATTATTAGAATGAAATGTGATTTCATCATGGGTAACTAAAATATGAATTTGTTCATTTGGTTGCAAATTAGGATTAATTTGAATTTTCATTTCATTACTTTCAAAAATAGGCATTAATTTTTGATAACTTTATTATAAAAAATGAAAATAAATAAATAAATTGTAGCTTTGATTAACATTGCATGATTGACATGATACTTACATTTCTATTTCCTTTAAAAAGATTTTTCAATATTTCACTACATCTTCATATTCATATCCATTTATATAAACTCCCTTTTGATATTTTTTATAATAATAACCCATTTTTCTAAGCCAATTTCTCGCAGTAGTTTCACTAATAATTAATAATTATAAATAATAAATATTATTTAATAATTAAAAAATTAAAAGTAAAATATTTACCTAATTATTGTTTTTGTTTTAATACCAAGTGATAGGAAAATAGTATTTGTAATATAATCCATAAAATTGGCAACATAAAACTCAAATTTTTTTTCGCAAATAAGAAGTAACTTGTATTTGAATATCTTCATTATTAAGTAAACTTTTTACTTTACAATGCTTTCCTCATTTAGAAAATGGGATAGACTCTCCATTTTGTAGCATGTGACTTCATAAATGAAAACATTGAGCAAACTATGATCCTTTTTTAAGTTATTATAAAATACTAAGACTAGTTTCTAGTTTAGAATCTTGAAATTCAAAAAGTCACATAAATTATAATATAGCAATTAATCTTAATTTGTGACCTTTCATCTAAATTCTTTTCTTTTAGCTATATCTCAAGAGAATTAATTACTTATTGGAAATAATTATCATCATCATTAGGTTCATCTTCAGATTCTTCACTTATTTCATTACTTTCATTAGATTTACAATAAAAAAAATGATCAATTGTTTACTTATTTTTTTTGGCATCCCTTTTTGCTTGGGCATAATGTCTGCATTTAGTTCTTGCAGAATTTCCTGTATAAGTTGATTTGCAGTTCAATGGAATATAATTCCGCATTTGATCCATTAAAATTTGAATCAAATCTTCTCGATTATTATCTAAATCATTATCTTCCCATATAATTTTTTCATCATTTTTTGCATCACAAAAAATTTTTCACAAACTTTCTTAATTATTTTTCACTTTAAGGTTTATTTCAGCTATTTGAACATATTTCTTTTATTTTTTTAGCAAGTATTTTTATGTATTTTTTTCTCTTTGATATACCGATCATCAAACTTTATTTTTTAAAATAGAATTGCAAAAAGCAAATTACATGTAATTGCATATTCATTATTCAAATTTATAATTATATTGATCTTTGATAATTTTACCACATCTTTTAATAGAAATTTAATGTTAAAAAGTATTAAAAATTAAATTTTTAACCTAAAATTTGGTGACCAAATTGAGGATATTTTATATATGTATATATAATTTTTTGCTGAATTAAAATGCACATAACTTCTTATACATAGATCTAATTTGAAAAATTAAATCATATTTTTATAGCTCATGATCTGATCTATTAAAGTATGATGAATTTTTAAATTAATATTTCTTTTTTTGAAATATATGGCTATTTTAAGATAGAGTTTAAGACTTGATACGACTAGAATGCTTGAGCTGTACTAAACTAAATAAATTAAAAGAACTAATTATCAGTGATTTAAACAGAAAACAAGAAGACAGACGGATATCTTATATTATATATCTTATAATTAATTATCTTACATTATACTTTAGACTAATTATATAAAATTACTTAAAACTTTGTAATACTTACCATATGTTTTTTCACATATTTTTTCATAATTTTGGTAATTTATATTATTATATTATTTGAATTTCATATAGTTTTACATATATTAATCATATATTAAAAATATAAATTAGAACTTTTCAATTATTTGATTAAATTTTTATTAAAATATTTAATATTTTATTATTTTAGTTTTTTCTATTAATTTAAATAGAGTATTATAGTATTACTAAAGTTACTGAATGAAACCTAAAAGTTTTACAAGTCATCTAAATGAAAAAAAATAAAATTTATCAAAATTATTAAAATCTTATTAAAAAATCTGCAAAATTTTGAAAAAGGTAAAACTATATAAAAGCTTATAAAAATGTGAACTATATCAAACCCTTAGTAAAAAATAAGTAAAACTATAATTTAAATGTTTTGCTAAAATGAATTTAGACAAGTAAGCTTAAGTATTACTTTATAGAAACTAATACATTTATTAATAAATCTTAGTAAAGCTTATATTTATACTAGTTATGATTTTTTAAAGATAATAAATATTACTTTTTGTATAAAAAATCAATAAACTCTAAAAATTTCTATATTTATATATTAACTATTTAAAAAATGAATTAATTTGTTAAAATAATTTTAATTTATTTAATATTATTTATTGATATATATATTTATTATAAAAAATGATAAAGTATTTTTGCTTAAATTTTAAAAAAATGATTTTTAGTTAAATAATTTTTTTATAGTTTTGTGAAATTTATTTTTAGTTAGTTTGTATTTATTATTAAATAATTCTTTTATAATATTATTAATAATATTCTATAAATAATATATATATAAAATTTATCATTTTTATAAATTTTTTATTTATATTTTTTTTTTATAATTTTTATCTATCATTTTTTGTCATTTTAACAATTTATTAATCTTTGCCTTTATTTTTAAATTTTGTTGAATAATTCTTTTTAATATTTTTATAATTTTATTTCTATTTATTTTGATTTTTTGATTAAAATAAATAATAATTTTAATAAAATAAAAAATATATATATAAAAATATTATTATCAAGATCAATTAAAGAGTTTTCTAAATATTTGAGTAATTTATTAAGTAAACTAGTCTTATTATTATATATCTTTGGATCACAATCAATATTTAATAAATATTATATTTCTCTTATATTTATATTATTTTTAAAATATAAATCTTTAAATTATATGATATTTAAGTAAATATTTATATTTTTTTATTACAATTTAGTTAAAATAAACTTTAATATTACAAATTTATAATAAAAAACATATATGAAAATAATATTTAAACTAAAATAAAGTTATATAAGAGGGTTTCTAAGAAAATCAGATTCTAAGAAATTTTTGACTAAAATTAAGAGCTTAATATATTTTAATATCAAAAACTAAAATGCAATAAAAATCTCAATTTTGCTAAAAAATTTTCGGAACCTGATTTTTTTAACAATTAACCTATAAATTAAAAAGAAATGCATTTATAATAAAGTTATAGTTATAACATTACTTTTTAATTTTTATAAAATTCTGTAAAGATGAATAACACTATTTTATTTTAAAATAGGAATTTTAATGATATATTCAGTTATAATTTATTATTTGTCAAATATTATTTGTTAATAGAACTATATTGTAGATCATCTATAAATAAAAATAAAATTATCCAATTTTAAAATCCTAAAATTTTTGTTTTACATATTATAAAAGAAATTATTTATAATAATAATAAAGCAGATAATAAAGAATAAAAATTATAATTTTAAATATTTAATTGATTAGAAAGTTTTTGATTTTTAGGTGATTGAAGATTACAAATTTTCTTATAAAGTATTTAAATTTCAGACATTGATCTTATCATATAATATTGATTTTATTTAATGAAATTCGATTATGTGAAATTTATCATATAAAATGTGTATATTACAATATAATACAAATCGATTGGTAAATTTTTTTAAAAAAGTTTTTTTTAGGCATGCTCTGACTTACCAAGAGAAAAACTGCAGAGAAAAATAAAAATCACAATAAGAAAGGAAAATTTGATACAATTACTAAGTAAGATTTATAAATTATTTAATTTATTTGTAAGAAAGAATACATTATTTAGATTAATTTTTTTTTAGAATTGAGAATAATACAGATGTGAATATATTAAGAGAATAATTAAGGATAGATTAAGATAATATTTTTAGTGAGAAGGATTAAAAAAAAGATGAGATAAGTAATTAAAGAAGTGATATTGATTCAGAAATAGAATAAGATATATAGAACAGATTTTTGAAGGTAAATTTTAGATTGAAGTAAAGATTAAATGTCAAATTAGAATGGAAAAATGTGATTCTTATAAAGTAGGTAAGATACTAAAGTTAACTTATTTTGACAAATGAGAACCTAGTGATTTATGAATAGAAGTAGCAAAGGAAACCTAAAAATTAAAAAGATTTTTTAGTCAGTAAGTTAAATCAATGCAAGAAAGTTCTCAAGATATTTCATTAAATAAGAAAGAAGCTTTACATTTGACTAACTATCTAAAGATATAGTTTCAAATTTAGAGAGAAATTTGAAAGAAAACGTTAACAGAATGTTTGTAAAAGAATATGTTAAAAAAAAGCTATATTTGAATATCTTGTATATTATTAAAAGGAGAAAAAAAATGAAGGAAAGTATAGATGTAGTAAATATGATATATAATAGTAATAGCAAATTAAAGGTTATTTGAATTTGACAAACAGCAAAATATTAATGCATTAATAATACACTGCCTTCATCTCATCAGGAAAAATATCAAAAAGTTAGCAGAATTATTGATGATGAAAATATTGCTAAAATGTATTATAAGTGGATTCATGAAAATGGAAGTTATACAATTTCACATTAATTTAAAGAATTTGATCAAGATATTTGATTATCAAAAGTAGGTATTAATAAAAATATAATTAGTATAAGTATGACAAGGTGATGGTTAAATATACTTGAATATTATTATTAATAACAAAAATAAGGAATATATTATGATGAGTATAAAAGAGAGAATATTGTAGAATATTAAAAGGTATTTTTATTAAAAATGGCTGAGTTTGAAAATATATAGTAATATATAAAGGAAATAATATAAAAAAAAGTTGTTCTTTTATTAATTTCAGAAGAGAAAGAATATATTTTAATATCATGATAAATGCATCTTTTATTTGAATGATAGAAACATAGGATATGGGCTAAATTAAGTGAGTTACCATTATATAAAAAAGGTATCAAAAAATCAATTATAGTAAGTAAATTTTTAACTAAAACTTGTAGAAGACTTAAACTAACTGCTGAATAAATCATTATTCTGATGTTTCAGAAAAAGCACGAGTATATTTAAAAACAGGAAAAAATAATGAAGGATACTGGATAGCTGAGCATTTTAATAAACAAGTTGAATATAAAGTCATTCAAATATTTAAGACTTAATTTCTAAATTGTATTAAAGCATTTGTTTTTGATAATAATTCAAATCATTTTATATTTACTTCTGATGCATTAGTTACAAAAAAAATGAATATTAGACCTGATAAAAATGTATCAAAAATGTGTAATACTTTTTGAAGTCTAAATAATGAAAGACAAAGTATAAATTTTTCTAATTGTCAGTCAAAGGGTATAAAATAAGTTTTTATTGAGCAAGGATTATAAAAAAAAATATGATAGGAGAATGCAAATTATATAAAAATAAAATTAATGATCCTTTACATATAGATTATTATAGAAGACAGATTATATCTCTTCTTTCAGATTTTTAGCTTAGAATTCTGTAATAGTTGAAATAATTGAAAATGCTTATCATATTTGTATATTTTTTCAAAGTTTCATTATGAATTGAATTTTATTGAATGCTATTGAAAGCAACTAAATGATATATACAAAATAATTATAATTATACATAGAATGGATTGCAGGAAATAGTTTTTGTATTTTAAATTTTATAGATTTAATAACTATTCATAGATTTGCAAGAAAAATATAATGATATATAGATTTATATAGACATAGAATTACAGGTAAATTTGCAGAATATACTATTAAAAAATACAAATCACATAGGAAAATTCCTGAAAATGTATTAAAAGAATTAAATAAAATAAATTAAAAATAGAGCAATATTTTTTAATTTTTTAAAATTTTTTTATTTTAATTTTATGATTTAATAAATTAAACTAATATCAATAAATTGATAATTGTTGTTTAATGATAATCTTAATCACATGATTATTTTAAAGGCAAATTTATTCTAGACCCTATGTATAAATTAAATTTTTAAGTATTATCACGTGATAGGTCTAGGATAATAGCTTGAACCCTTTAAGGATACTCTTGATTTAATTGGATAAAGATCACATGATATATATGATCAGCAAAAAAGAACATCTCAGACTGTTTGGTTTTTAGATGATTTGTACTATATTACTTAATGCTATAGTTTAGATCAAAAAATCATGATTGAACTCATCCATTTAAGGCAGTTAATCATACAAACTCTATATACTAATTTAACTAATAATCGTGATATTATCTTTTTTATAAATCTATACACTTTACTTCTGAATATTATTTTGACTATAAGGGTAAGTATTATAAATAGTTATAATCTTTTTCAGCAAACAAAAACTTACCTTAGCATCTAATTAAACTTTAACTTTAGCTATTTAAAGAAGTGTCTATCCATGGTTTTTAGTTAAGTCACATATATTATTTTTCTCGTATGCTTTTATAAATCTATACTTTTATTAAACTTTTAACTTTAGTTCTTATTACTTATTTAAAGGAGTATTAACCTATGATTTTTAGCAGTATTATTACTTTCTAATAAGATGAAAAAGTTATTAAATCCAAATGCTTTAAAAAGTAGATGCATATTCCTGATTTTGTAATGGAAGAATAACTCTTATTTAGCTAGCGTGATTAACTTAAAAAGATAAACACCCTAACTTTGTTGTTAATAAAAGTTATCAGTTATTTATATCTCTTGTCATTTATCTTATAACAGGTAAAAGAGAAATATAATTATAATAGTTTGCAAATGTATTAGCAGAGTATTGATAATCTGATTTGAATGAAATAGGATTATTCATCAAATCTAATCACCTTAAATAGATAAATAGTTATTAAGAAATTTTTTTAAAACATTTTTTTTTTGTAAGGCAGTACTGGAATAACACACAGTATTTACTTGATGTAAATATAAAAATATTATTAGGTTAGGTTTTTAGATAAAATCTGAATGGATTAGGGAATGTAATATAGAAGAGATTTAAGCAGATCCACAGGCTCAAACAATTACATGATTTTTGAGATTTTATGATATTCACATAACTTATCAATCTTATTTTCATAGGGTAGTTTTCAGTATTAAAAAGTTGATTAAAAAAATACTTGAATATTATTAATAATTATGATGGTCTTATTTATATATTCTTTGTAGCATTATTTCAAACTACTCCTAAGATGACAAAATAATATTTTCAACAATTAATTTATTTGCAATAGATTTTTATGTATTATTTTTATAAAATATATTGATTATCACATCCAAAAAAATTTATTTGAACAATTATAAAGTATTATAATATTAATATACTCAAATTTTTTTGATTCATCATGTAATATTTGTCTAATACTAATTTTTGATATACCTATAAAATTATATTCTGCATTAGATAAATTTAATGAATGATTAACCTGAATAATTTTTTTTTTCTCAAATTTTTATAAATAACTGTAAATTTATTTGCATCATATTTTTTATCTAACTTTTCCAAAAATTCATTTATAAAAAGAACTTCTTTTATATAGTTTAAAATTATGTTAAGAAATGATAATAAAGAATTTTCATTAAAATTTGAATTTAAACTAAAATTATTAGAAGCAGGTTTAATAAAATGTAACATGTTAAAAATTGCATGATTAGTAATATTTTAAAATTTATATTATTTTTAAACTATAAAAAATTCTGTTAGTTATAATAAATATTATAATACTATACTTATTTTAATAAAGACTTACAATATCTTGAGCTTACAT